CCCTCTTAACTCACACATAAAAAAAAAAAAAGCAAACACATAGCTATACTTTTAAAACAGATACTGGGGCACCTGGGTGGCTCAGCTGGTTGACCATTGGACTCTTGATTTCGGCTCAGGTTTGTGAGATCGAGCCCCGCATCGGGCTCCATGCTGACAGTGCAAAGCCTGCTTGGGGTTTCTGTCTTTCCCTCCCTCTGCTCCTCTCCCACTCTCTTGCTCTCTCAAAATAAATAACTAAACTAAACTAAACTAAACTAAACTAAACTAAACTAAAATAAAATAAAATAAAATAAAATAAAATAAAATAAAGAAGAAAGCCCCAGAAACATTAAGATTTTCCTACTTGTCAAAATAAATACAAATGAAAATATTCTACTATATTTACACTTCTTTTGTATTAAAAATGTTCCTTATACAGTTTTATGTCCGTTTGGTTGCTTTTGGCTACAAGTAACAGAAAGTCAAATTCAAAATGGCCCCAACACTGATGGGATTCATGACCTCCGATAAATAACATTCAAAACCCCGGTGGCTCCAGGTGCCCCGTGATGGGCCTCTCTGCTCCTCTGATGCCCTCTGAGCTCTACCTTACTCGCTGTGTGGCCCTCCTCTTCAGGCTTATAAGCAACACTGGCAACAGCAGTCCCAAGTGTCATATCCACAGTCAGTAATATTCCCAGAGGGAAGAAGGTTGCATCTTCCTTGAAGGCTCTCTTTATCAGAGATGAGCCCTTCCCAGGGGTCTCCTGGCAGACTTCTCTCTGTGCCAAAGACCGGACCACCTTGATTTTCCTGGGCACAAAGTGAGATTACACCTCCCAGCCTCTCTTGCGGTTGGGTGTGGCCATGTGACTGGGTTTTAGCCCAAGGGATTTAGAGAAAGGACGCACATGTCTTCAGGCCTGGCTTGCAAAGGTTCCTCCAAGCATGATCTTTTGTGACTTCTCCCCGGGGGGGCTCCCTGGCTTGATATAGATTTGCATCATGGCTCTGGAGGCCATTCTGGGAGATGGTCAAGCCATCCAATGGAAGGAGTCTGGGTCTCGAATCAGAGTTGGGAGGACACGTACTCATTCATCTGGGACACTTGTCATATGTTCTATATGAATAAGAGATAAACTTTCCCCGGGGTGCCTGGGTGGCTCAGTGGGTTAAGCGCATCTGACTCTTAACTTTGCCTCAGGTCATGGGGTCGAGCTGAGTCGGGCTCCACACTGACAACGCAGAGCCTGCTTGGGATTCTCTGCCTCCCTCTCTCTCTGCCCCTCCCCAACTCATGCTGTCTCTGTCTCTCTCAAAATAGATAAATTTTAAAAAATTGTAATGTAAACATCAGCGGAGAGAGGACCCCTGTCTTCCAGTTTTGGTGGGCAGGTAGGAGCCTCACTTTGCTGGAAGCCTTGCTCTAAGCTCCGAAACTACCTCCTGTCATAAAGCTACGAAAGGTTTGTTTTTCCTCTGGATAAAGCCAATTAGCTAACACAGATGGCCACCCAAATTACGAGGTGACTCTGGGACAAACTACTTGTGACAGATGGTGATGTCAAGGCCTCTCACTCAAGAGCTAATTGTTGTTGACCAGGAAACATGTATGCAATGGATTGTATCTGGTTGACTCTAGAAAAAGGTGAGATTTCCTTCTACGTCTGCAACCTCTTAGCGGATCACCTACGCCAAGCGTGACATTCCATTTTATTTTTTTTAATTTTTTTTTCCAACGTTTTTTATTTATTTTTGGGACAGAGAGAGACAGAGCATGAACGGGGGAGGGGCAGAGAGAGAGGGAGACACAGAATCGGAAACAGGCTCCAGGCTCCGAGCCATCAGCCCAGAGCCCGACACGGGGCTCGAACTCACGGACCGCGAGATCGTGACCTGGCTGAAGTCGGACGCTTAACCGACTGCGCCACCCAGGCGCCCCGTGACATTCCATTTTAATGCTTGTTCCGTAATAAAGCTATTTCTTTTCTCTCCTGCCTTGTGGAGGGATTTGCTAGGCTGGGTGAAGATTTTGCTTTTAATTATTAAAATTATTTATTTTTTTCTGAACCATTTGAGAGCAGATTGCATACACCGCACCCCTTTTCTCTTTACTTTTCAGTGTGTATCTCCTAAGAACATTCTCCTATGAAACCGGAGTACGGTGACAAAATTCAGGAAATTTCATACTGATAGGATAATTCTATCCAATCTGCAGTCCATGCCCCAACTTTGTCAACTGTCCCAGTAATGTTCTGTATAGCGCTTTTCCTCTGGTACAGACGCCAATCCAGGATCACGTTTGGCCCTGAGCCACCATGCCTCAATCGTCTTTATTTGGAACAGTGTTTCAATTCTCTCTCTCATTGCCATCTTTAAAGAATATAGGCCAGTTATTGAATAGAACACCCTTCCATTGGGGTCTGTGTGATGTTTACGTTTGATTCGATTCAGATTCCTACATAGCGAAACTGGTTTCCTCTCTACCCCCATCTACCTCTTCATCCACTGGATGATTTCGAAGGAAATCTCACACATAGCATCGTTTCATCCATAAATGCCTCATTCACTTCATTGCAATTGAATTTATTCATTTTATTTTCATATTTCGCATTACTAGGTCCTGTTTAAGAGACTCCCTGTATAGATTCTATTAATATTTCTCAAAAAATGAAAGTTTTGGTCTTCACTTTGAATTCTGTGATCCATCTGGAACTGAGCTTTTGTATGGTGCAAGGTAGACAATTTCAGGGGGTGATGGAGATGTCCTCTATCTTGGTTGCTGTGGTGGTTACACAACCATATGCATTTGTCAAAACTCACAGAGCTGCGCGAGGAAGAGGGTGATGGGTACTCTATGTACCTTATACCTTAATAAGCCTCACGTCAGTCCATCATGAGCTGTTTACGGACATATAAGTTAGAGCCATAATGGGAGGATGGGGACGTGCCACAGGGCATAGGAACTAACACAGCAGCCATTTCCCCCTATTTTCTTTGGAGGACCCATCTCTTCTCCACTCTCAGCCCCTGTAGTTTGGGGGCCAGTCACCCCCGCCTCTAGAAGCAAGTATAGAACCCCAGGCCTGCCCACCCCGAGTTCTGTGTTCCCCTGGCCACTGTGACCGGCTCAGGTTGAGGCTCAAGACCTGGGATGAGACAAAACGGAAGTGGAAAAGAGAATTGAAGCTCCAGGGGACGTAAGCCTGGGAGCTGCTGGGGCCCAACAGGAGGGGAGCTTACGTGAGAGCAAAGCCTACTCGGGACCAAAGAAGCCACGGAAGAGAGAAAGAGCATAGCGAGGTCTGAAGACATTGTGTTTAAGCCTCCAGTTCCAGCTGTGCCTGAAGTCCACCATTGGACTTACCAGCTATGAGTCAATACATTCCCGTTTTGCTTAAGTCAGTGCGAGCGGTTTCTCACTCATTGAGCACGGTCAACCAGGCCTGCAGCCAGTCGAGTGACCAATAATTGTGTTGCAGCAGACACTTCGCTGGACATGCTGAGGGAAAGAACCACGACAGGGTCCAACGACTGGCTTGGCCCTTGAGGTGGGGGCAACCAAATGGAGTGGGTGAGTGAACTTTACTTTTCAGAAAAGGACTGAAACCCTCAGGGCCCTACGTCAAGCATGTCCTGCTTCACCAAGGGAGAGACAGTTAAACAAATGGCGTTTGAGGCGATGTGTGATAAATCCCTAAATATCTCCTTGTTATAGGTAATGTATCCCACTGATTCTAACGTGTGCATTTCCCCCTGACATCCTGACATCCCTGACGTTAGAATGCGCCTCGGGATCAACGGCTGATTACAGCCGTTCTCAGCCAGGGGCATTGACTCTGTCCTTGCTGGTGCCTGAGGGTGACCTTGAGCACAGCTGTTCATACTAGCATCCTTCCAGATGGAATTAGGTACCGCATGCGATCATTTAATTGCCTTCCTAAATGTCTCTTTAAAAAAGATCACGTCGTGATTCGGCGCTGAAACTAAAAGGCAGTTCATGGCACAAAGGCACTGGGGCAGAGCCGCGAATGTAAACCTGATATCGGTAAAGAAAACAAGCAGCCCCTGGGAGGATGGCTGTCGTTTCACATTTTCTTGCAAAGTAAGAACTATGGGCTTCACAGAAAAGGAAATAAATGCCGCGAGGCAGGGTTCATACTGAGTTACCGTGCGGACAAAGAAGGTAGGCGTGAGTCAGACGTCTGGACTCCGAATATGAACAAGTTGGGTGTTGTTATCACAACGGCATGTTGCTTATATTCTCCTTTCTGTCTATGCGCAAGAAGGTATGGGGCAGAAACACAGGTCTAAATCTGAAAGAGCTTCTTCAAATAAGAAGTGTAAGTGATACGTAAGCATGGTTATGGTTGAGTGTCATTTGTAGAGTTTCCTTTTCCTTTCTCAGGGGCACATAGCACAACGAGGCCCCCTAGAATTCAGCGTGCTTGGGGTCCGTGATTTCTGTTGAACGCTTATTCCGGGATGGGCTTCAGGAGTGTGTAAGAAGACACAGTGCCCTAGAGAAAGTTCTCTCCACACACACATCAGGGGGTCTCAAGGGTGGGATGTCGCAGAAAGGAAAAGCTAGTGCTCTACTTACGGGGTCCAGGAGTTTGGAGCGTGCCCAGGTCATCACCGTGGATACCAAAATAAATAGCTTTCGCTTCTCGAAGTGGCTGACTTCTTCATTCAGTGCTGTGGGGCCAAAAAGCAGGACAGTTATTCAGATCCACAAAGACCTGGTTTTCCAAATCATGTGTGGGACTTGAAATTACTCCTTTTTTCAGGGAGCACGTTAAGACGAGTGTCACCTCTCTGCTCCACTGGCCTGTTCCCCCCCCCCCC